TATTTAATTTTACCTAATAAATTATACCTAATAAATACTACAACCTTCCATATACAATTAACGTTACTTTTACAATTATGGATTATTATTGTATATTTATGATTATACATTATAACGTTTCATTCTTTTAAATGGTATTTTCATCTTTTTATTTTCTTTTATGACATCTAATAAAAACTAATTAAAATTTAAAATAATCTATATATATAATTAGGAATTATCACATCAATAAAAATTTACATATTCCACTCTTTTTTATACATAGTCGCTTGGTTTTTTACTTAATATGTGAGCATACTAATGTTGTAATTAATAGTTACGATTTTATCAGCTCATTTAATAATTCTAACTTTTATTCCATATATTTTTTAAATAGCATGATTACAAATTATTCTACCAAAACATGTGGGTATAATACAAAAATAGAAAATTAAAATAAAACAATCATTCTTATAAAAGACCATTTATTGTTGCATAAGAACGTGTTTAATTTTTTAAAAAATGCATTCGTTTAAATAAAATTCATAGCCTCAAATAGTAGTAGTAGTAATAATAATAATAATAATAATAATAATAATAATAATAATAATAATAATAATAATAATAATTAATGTATTTTATATAAATATCATTCCCGTTATGATTATATTTATATTCCTATATATATAACTGTTCACAAAGAATTTATTGCAAAAATAAAATCAACACATTTTATTCACGAAATAATACAAAAAGCATACAAATATATTAAACCTTTAAACAAACAATTCACATCTAGATCAATAGCTTCCCCGTTGATAAATTAAAAGCATGACTACGACAGCTAAACAAAATAGGAATCGATCCGAGTGTTTGTGTCAGATGAGAGAAAAAAAAAATTAAAAGTGAAGAAGAAACGGCGAAAATGTTGCACGTGGTAGGGTTTCATGCATCAAATACCTGCCTCTACCACCTTCTTAAATGTTCTATATATGTGTGGTGGATGAAACTTTAGGCGTGCTATATGGGTCCGAACATCCTTCATCAATGCATCAAACTTCGCCTTAAAGACACGACAAATTATATATAGACGGTCCTCAGGGTTAAGGTTCATTTCAGAAAGGAATCGATTGATTTCAGGCTACTTGGGGTTGCAAGTGATAGTTATGAAGATATCAGCATAACCGGTACAACGACAAATGGTAATCGCATCCAACGACAAAGGGTGCACTTCAATTGGCAGCCAATAAAATTCTTATCCATCGTTTTTTTTTTGATTAGTGTACAATTCGATTGATATGTTTTTGTTCTCCGAATTTTGAGATCAACATATACTCGATTAGTTATTACAAAGCTCAACAGCCATGTATTCGAATGCAAAATATGAACCGGTGCCAGAGTTGGTGATAAGGTTCTTATTCGTAGGCTCAAAATCATACTATCCGATTTGATGGTACCTTTCAAGTTTCAGCGCAGGCAGTTTTTGCTCGTGGTTTCATGTGCTATGACAATCAATAAGAGTCAAAGACAATTCTTTCGCATATCAGCTTACTACTGAAGAGCTCTGTATTTAGCCATGAACAATTGCACGTGGCGATTTCTAGAGTTACGAGCCGAAGGGGCTTGAAGATAATGATTTGTGATGATGGAGATTCTGACGATTAAAAAAACACGAATGTTGCACATAAAGAAGTGTTTAATAATATTTAATTTTTTTTAAAAAAAAACATTTTTTTTCGATGTTTATGTTATGATTTTTACTATTGTTTATAAATTTATATTATTTTATTCTTTATCATATAGCATTCTGTGCAAATGCACAGGTTACAACTAGTATTTCTTAACTCAACACTCAGTGTGGTACACGGGTATTGTATTAATTGTCTTTTATTTAAAAAAAAGTTACCATCCTACATGACGGACGGGTTGTGGCCAATTTAAAGTATTCAAGTATTTGATTCAAGTGTGTGAAAAGATTTGAGTGATTCGTTTAAAATATTTGAATATAATCAATCTTATTATCAGCGTCGGCTCTGTAATTTGAAGGGCCTATGGGCAAACAAGAAATATGGGCCCATTGTCTTCGGGGCAAGATTCAATTCTTCTGCAGCCGACAACCATATTCTTCAGCTTACTTTTTTTTACCAAAATACCCTCAAAATATTCACTCTACACTATACTACATGGGTTGAGGGTATAACTAACTTTTCACTTCAATCCTCTCTCTCTAACTCTCTCACTCTACCGACATTTGTTTAATGGTTTAGTTGTACATATGAGATCCGTACAAGGTTTTTTCTTTGTCAATTAACATGGGCCTTCAAATAAAACAAAAGGCATATTTAATATATTATATATACCAAATACTGTACAAGATTATATATATATACACTACATACTTATATAATCTTGGGCCCCCCATCCATGGGCCCCCGGCCGGTGCCCTGGCTGCCCCCCTGAGCCGGCACTGCTTATATATAAAAATATATTAAATGAATATTACATTTTTTTTTCATCTACCCACTCTTTGAGAATGACACCACTCAACTTTTTCCTCAAATTTCATTCTCTACATTTGATTAAAATCAAAATGGACGTCTCAGATCGGCCAAACTTTGTCACTCCCTCTTCTATAAAAACCCACTTCCTGGGCATTAGTCATCACTTTGCCTTCTCTCTTTTATCTCTTTCTATCTCAAGAAGACCAGAAATTTATTGGTTTTTTTATCTAGAGGTCAGAAGCAGATGTCATCGTCCTTGTTTTGAAGGACTCGAATGAGTTTTCTTCTTGTATAGCGTAGTGGGTTTTTATTCAAGCTCATGTTGTGTTGTTAGTTTTTGTACTTTTAGTTGCTTGTGTTATGTCTTTTTCTAGTGTTTTGTAGATTAGTTAGCCCCCCTTTAGAAAAGGGGTTCAATTGTTGTTTGTTGTATTTTTGTAGTATTTTTCGTGTGTTTTTAGTGCCTTAGTCGTGTCTCT